ACTGCTCTGTTTGCCAGCCACTGCCTTGATGTGCATCCTCTACCCTAGCTGCCCATCTTCACCCCTCCTACTAGTCTGGATGAATGTTTCTTCTTTAACTCCTTGGTTGTTGTACTTCCATACAGTTCAATTTTCTAGCAGTCCCAGCTATTTGTTGTTTTTAAATTGGTTGTTGTCTTTCTTTTGGTTGTGCAAGGAAGCAAAGAGTATCTACCTGTGCCTCCATCTTGACCAGAAGTCAGGATTCTTTTTTCTTCTTGTTCTGATTGGTTGTTGTCACTTCCTTATGATCCAAATTATTGATTCAATTCTTGGCTTCATCCACTCCATTGTGGTTTCCCTGTAAATTCTTCTTTATTTCAATTAGTGTATCCTTCATTTCTGACTGGGTCTTTTTTATGCTGTTGAGGTCCTCATTAAGTTCCTTGAGCATCCTTATAACCAGTGTTTTGAACTCTGCATCTGATACATTGCTTATCCCCATTTCATTTAGCTCTTTTTCTGGAGTTTTGATCTGTTCTTTCACTCGGGCCAGGTTTCTTTATCTCCTAGTTTTAGCTGTCTCTGTGTGTTTGTTTCTATGTATTAGGTAGAGCTGCTTTGACTCTGTGTCTTGGTAGTGTGCCTAATGTATTAGGTGTCCTGAAGGTCCAGTGGCACAGCCTCTCCTGTCACCAAAGCTGGGTACATGAGGTGCACACTTCATGTGGGCTGAGTATACCCTCCTCTTGTAGTTGAGGTTTGGTTGCTGTTGACAGATCAATGGGAGTGATTTACCCAGGCCAGTCAGCTGCAGGAACTGGCTGTGACCACTGACCACAAACCTCTGCCCTTCATGGGGGATCAGCTATGTGAGGACAGGGTGGTGGTGCTCCAATGTGATCTGTAGCTGTCCACTGGTTGCACTGGCCCTGGCGTTTCCCAGGTGGCACAGGCCAAGTTCAGCCCCCACCTGTTTTTTTCCCAGGGCCACCCTGCCTGAGCTATAAAGCAATCTGAGATGGCTGCTCCTTGTGCTGGGCTTGGAGATTCCCAGGTGAATCCAAGCTGTGAATATAGTCTGGCTGCTGCTAGTGCCAGGCCTTGGGCTCACTGAGGCCAGCTGTTGCTTGGTTTGAGTGGATTTATGAAGTTGTGAAGCATGAGCCAAGACCAGTCATCCATATGAAAAAGCAGCTTGGGTGGGTCCATAAATTGGATGTGGCAGAGTCTCTGGGGATCTCCAAGGCAGGACAAACAGTTTTAGTCAGGTTGATGGGGTCTCAGATATGGCATGAGTTTATTGGCTTTGTGGAAATAGAGTTCAGAAAAGGAACAATGGCCTCTGCTCGCCCTGATGCCAGACACTTCAGTTTCTCCCTATATAACACTGGTGCCTGTCAAGCTGCTACCCCAGTGCTGGAGCTCAGAGGGAGTGAGTGTGAGTAAGTGAATCCAAGTGGGAATTCTTTAAGAGAAACTGCTTGTGGTTCCAGCAGTTTCTCCCACTGACTCAATCCCTACTGGTTTTTGCAGCCAGAAATTGTGGGAACTTATCTTCCTGGTCCTGGGATCCTAGCCTGGAAAGCTTAGTATACGGCTAGGACTCCTTGCTCCCAAGATTTCCCTCCCAAATTTGTAATCACCACATGTGGGTGAGGGACCAGTCCATTCCACATCTGCTTTCCTCCTACCAGTCTAGATGGATATGGTTTCTTTAATTTCATAGTTGTCAGACATCCATTCAACTCAAGTTCTGACAGTTCTGAGTTGTGGTGTTTCTATATTTTAGTTTTAAATTTGCTGTGGTCATGCAAAGAGGTGAGCCATGTCTGTCTACACCACCATCGTCACCTCAAGTCCCCTCCCTGAATTTTTAGCCACCACACATGGGTGTGGGACCAGCCTGTTCTGTGTCTCTGCATCTCCTCTCCTCATCTCCTACCAGCCTGGATGGATGTGGTTTCTTTAGTTCTGTAGTTGTCAGACTTCCATTCAACTCAGTTTCTGATGGTTCTGAGAGGGTTGTTCTGTGGTTTAGTTGTAATGTTGATGTGGTTGTGAGAGGAGCCAAGCTCTGTTTACTTATGCCTCCATCTTGACCAGAAGTTGTCATTCCAATTTTTTTACTAAGCAAAGAATCTAATCTTATACAATTACACACAACATTCCATTTAGTAATGGAAAGATGAAATTATTTCACTTCTTCATATTAAACAATAGCAGCACTTACTCACTAAGACATGCACTACCACCATATAATAGATTCTGTCATCAATACACTGGACTTGGCATTTTAGATATTATGTTCCCACTTTAAATTAAGTCCTATTTACTGATACAAAAACAGGCAAAGACTATGAATAGGCATTTCATTAAATGAAAGAATACAAAGAGCCAATAACAACACTGATATATCAATCTTATTTGTCTTGAAGAAATAAAAACTTAAAAACTAAGGTACCATTGGCAAAGATTAAATTTTTCTAAGAGATAGTATCTACAGTTTACCAGGGAGTGTGCAGGTGGGGGTGAAAGGGTGGTCACACATATAAAACTAGCTGGAAGTGTAAGTTGCACTTTCTGAAGAGCTACTTGGTAATATTTATCAAAACTCTAAAAAAGTTTAATCCCTTTGAACCAATCATTCCACTTCCAGAACCTCTCTCAAGAACATGACTAAGCACACACCTCAGAACGTGGTCACAGGGTGCTCCCCGCACCACTGCTCACACTGACATCTGCACACGACCAAATGTCTGACCCAGAGGAACACTGAGTAAGCAGTGGCCCCTCCCTTTTGGCAGGCAGTGGGCGTCCCCTCGATGCCATCCTCCCAGCCTCCCTCAGCTCCTTCCCCCAACCCCAGAGTCCACTTCCCACAGGGTCTAACCATCAATCGCTTCCTCAGTGAGCTGACCCGAGTCCAGAGAACTGAGGAGGAATCTTCTGGGGACCCGTGGGAAGTGCACTCCTCACTGACAACCTGAGATGTGAGAGGAGGAGCAGCCTTTCCTGACTTTTAGATGCAATTCTGTGAAGATGCGAAGCTGCAGTTGCAGCAGCAGCTCTGGGGACCAGGAGACAAGCCTAAGGCCAAACACACTGAGGCTGAGGCCAAACAGAGTCCTTAATGACATGTCTGAGCTGCCTGTGTGTGAGATAATGAATGTGCTTGATTACTTAAGACCATTATGTTTGGACACTTATCTCTGGTCAAAAGCATCCTAACTGATATTAGCCGCACAATAGAATACTTACAAGCCAGTGAAAGTTATGTCACAGAACTATTTATGAACAGTAGATGTGCAGTTAACAAAAAAATTACAAAATAGTATGTTCCCATTTTTATTCAAAAATAAGTGCATTAAATATGGATTTATTTGCCAAGACAAAGGTTTTAGAAATAGTTATCTCTGACATAAGTATGTCTGAAGGGCAGACATTTAAATGTTTCCCTGTTGCACACCTGCATTTTCCATTTCATCTTTAACAAGCATGTGCAGGCATGCCTCAGGGATACTCCGGGTTCAGCTCCAGTCCTCTGTAATAAGGCGAGTCACAATACTGTTGTTGGTGGAGGGTCTCCTTGCCTTGCACTTATAAAAACTGCAAGCTTGTGAAGCACATGAAAAAAGTGCAATAAAACAAAGAATGCCCGTGTCACCTGAAATTGTGCCACACTTTTTGATTTCTTCTGTCAATTCACTGCAAACTGAGGAGGAAGAAAAGGTAAATATGTAATCTACAAAGCTATCTCTAGTGGGTGTATAGTCTTTTCATTGGAAAAATGGTGTTTTTCTTTTACAAACTGTTTAGTAAATATAGCATAGTACAGTTTTCATTTCCCCTTCTTATCATATCATGACTTTGTACCATTTTGTATCAGAATTTTTTCTGTGAAGCAAAAACAGACCTAAAATGAAGGCTCATCAGGGGCCATAGGAACCACAGATGATGTAAGTCATGGGTGAGACCAGTAAACGTCTCTGGGAAGGTTTAGAATCATCTGGAGACAAAACATCCTGTGTGTGCATCCATCGCGTTTGCTCAGAGCTACTGAAGAAACAGGGTGCTCATCTATTTTGTGTTCCTCAAATGCCCATTGTTTTCTCTTCTTCATCCATAAACAAATGTGTTTCTTTATAAACCTGGTCTATACTCAGGTTTAATGGGAATATATCAAATTCAAATCATTGCAGTTCAAATCCCAGTCCCACACCTGTGACTTTTATGAGGGTTACTTTCAGTGCCCAGTCCCTATAAAACACATCCACCCAATTACATTCAGCTTTAAAGCTTCTGATTGCTTCTCATTCCTTGCTGGTAAACTTTCGTTTCATAATATGAAAGCATTCCCAAATTGAACTACACCCTGGAAAACTAGAGTTCATTGTGTTAGTTCTAACGTGTAGCTCAAGTTCAGCAGCAGGTGCAGCTCAGTCCCTTTAATGAGAGATGTTAAAGCTGAAATGGAATAAGGAATCAGTAAGTCTTTTGCAAGAACTTGTTTTTCTGTCACAGTTCTTTGCAAAACTAATATTACTCTAAGGGATACTCAATTTCTATGTAACTAATTTCCTCATCATCAGAAGACCAGCCATGGCTGCCTTAGCATTCCGGGCACAGACAGTCTGGGCAACACACTCCTTCACCTCAGGCTGGATGGGTCACACCACCGACAGCTCCTCAGCTCAGCTGGGCAGCCAAGCATCACAGGAAAAGGCCCAGCACATGCTCTCCATTGCTGGCATCAAGCAGAACCACTTGGCAAGAAAAAAATTAAACCCACTCTTTGCCACATCACTTTACCGCTCTGTGCCTCAGTTTCCTCATTCTTAATAGGGTCTCACATTACAGGCTCATTGTGAAGATTACACATATGGCACATGCAATGTGCTGAGCTCAGGCCCACTCAGGGTGTGCACTCAGTCAATGAAAGCTGTTGTCGATAAAGACTTTACAAAACCTATACCATCACACATGGATGGATAAAAAAACTGCTTTGTGCTTTACTGCAGGAGGGGCAGGTGAGGAGCTGCAGGTGATTCAGCCTAAGTCAGTGTCAGTGGCAGCTGGAGAGACAGCCACTCTGAGCTGCACTGTGACCTCCATTCTCCCTGTGGGGCCCATGTTTTGGTTCAGGGGGACAGGGCCAGGCCGGGAGTTAGTCTACAGTCAACAAGGAGGCCACTCCCCCCGAGTAACAAATGCTACAGATACCACGAGGAAAAACAACATGGACTTTTCCATCCGCATCAGCAACATCACCCCAGCAGACACCGGCACCTACTACTGTGTGAAGTTCCGCAAAGCAGAGCCTGACAACACGGAGCTCAAGTCTGGAGCAGGCACTCGGCTCACCGTGAGTGGTGAGTACAGTGTGGGGCCCTTCGTCCCTGGTGTGTGACAACAAGTCCATAAGAACAATCTCCGTTTTTTGAGCATCATCTAGAAATCAGGTACAGAGGTAAGTGCTTATAGTCAGGGTCTGATTCCTGGTCTGATGTCACCCCTCCTGCAGGTCAGGGAGATTGAGGCCTGGAGATCCTGCTATCTTCTCAGGCCCCATGGCTGGTAAATGGTGGGAAAAGTCTGGAACCCCTATTTGCCTGGCTCCTGAGCACTTCCCTTCTCCAATGCTGTCCAGCCCTTTGGTTCCAGGGATGAGGGAACTGAAGGTCTGAGGGACTCGCCCATCCTGAGGTCAGACCTCACCCCTGCCTCCAGAGAGTGCTCCCCAGTGTGGCCGAGCCCCCCTCACTGACACTCACTGACACCCGCTGGGAGCTGGGTTCTGCCCTGGGTGCTGTGAGAGCTGCAGGAGACTGAGCAGGCAGAGCTCTTCTCCCAAGAAGCTTCCTTCTCCTCCCTGGAGTTGGGAGAGATCCATGCAGGGCAGGGAGGGGGGACGTGTTTCTTTATTTCCTCCTCAGAAGCATCACAGGAGAAGACATCCCTAAAGGGGCACAGAGTCCCTGTTTGCTCTGCCAGCCCTGCTGGGAGGAGGTGCCAGAGGTTGGGCGCTCACTGTGGGTCTGTCTGATAAACCCCCTTCATTTCAGGGAACCTGGTCACACTGTCACTTAGAGTCTGAGGAGAGTTTTCTCGGACTGTCCTTCACTCTGAGAGGAGGTTCCCCCTGTGGGTGACATAGGAGTTATCCCACTGAGGCAGCAAAAGAGCTCATTTAGGCTTTTGCCTAAGGCCCAGGATCCTGAATCCTGAAATGTCAGCCCACAAAGGACTGTTAGACCACCCTGCTTGGCCCACCCATGTACAGAAGGGAGCCTGATACACAGAGGTGACAGTGGCCTTGCCCACATCACATGGCCAGTGAGTGAGGGGATTGTCCCAGAACCCAGTCTGATTCCAAGCAGGTTCCTTTTTCCCTTATCGTGCATAGGACCCTCTTTCCATGAAAGACTTGGCACATATTAAGTACTGAATAAAAGCTAATTACCCCAAACCATTAAAAAAAAGCCAGCCCTGGCTGGTGTAGCTTAGTGGATTGAGTACAGGCCTGCAAGCCAAAGCATCATTGGTTTGATTCCCAGTCAGGGCACATGCCTGGGTTGTAGGCCATATCCCCAGTAGCGGGTATGCTAGAGGCAACCATATATTGATGTTTCACTCCATCTCTTTCTCCCTCCCTTCCCCATCTCTCTAAAAATAAATAAATAAAATCTTTTTTAAAAAGAAGAAGCCAGAATATTCTTCTCATCATTTTCTCAAATGTTCAGGTGCTCCTCAGATTCAGACCCTGAAGCCCAAGGTCATTGAAATCTGCTGGTTCCTTCAGCCCCATCCCCCCAAATCAAGCATCCACATCAGCACCTAGAGCTGCCCCTTCTTCAACTGCTGCCTCACCCTCCAGCGCATGGAGACAGCATTGTTCACTGACAGCCTGTTGATGGATATATGTTGTTCCCAACCTGTGGCTATTAGAAAGGTGATGCAGTGGATAACCTTGCCCTTGTGTCACTTGATCAAGAGGGAGATGCCCCCTGGAAGTGGCATTGCTGGGTCAGAGGGTACGGGCATTTTAACTCGTGTGAACATTTCCAGATTTCCCTCCTAGACATGGTAGCAATGGAGTCTCCCCACAACTCCTGGACATAGGCAGGGAAGGTGGCCTTATCCTGAATATTCAGATATTTCTGAAGTTCCTTATGGTGTGTCCCTTCCCTAGGCAACCACAGGTAGTAAGCAGCTCCATCTCAGGTCTGCTGCCTCCTGGTAAAGTCCTGGCTCCTCTTCCCCAAGCTGCCTGCCCAGAGGATGCCCTGGGTGAGAAAGGAGGGAGACAGGATGGAGCAAAAACTATGTCTTCATGGCGGCATTTACTTTATAACCAGTGTGGTGAGGGAGGGGCCTCTGTTGCCCCTTTGCCAGATGAGGACACTGATGCTCAGAGAGGGACACGAACTCAGAGGAAGGAGAGCTAAGATTTGAACCCCAGGCAGCATAAATCACAGCCCTGCTCTCTGCACTGCCCCACCATGCTTGTCGATATGAAGAGAAATCTCCAACCCTCTTCTTTAAAATCATATATTATGTTTCCATAATAAGTAAATAAATAAATAAATTTCTGAAAATGTCCTGTGGGGGAGGCAGGGCTAGCTTTATAACTGAAATGAGACACATCCCATGTTGTTCTGAAACTAGTTCTAAACATGGAGTTTTTCCTTCACTGAGCAGCCTGCCAGAGCAGCCTGGGGACAGTGGTGGGGTTAGAGCAGGGAGGGGTCACTGCACCCCCAGTGACACTGTGCACCACGTTTCCTGTCCCCACAGACTGAGGATGAGGCGGAGCGGGGGGGCATTTCCTAGAAAGTACTGGGGCCCCAGGTGAGCAGGACTTCATTTTCTAGACCCAGTTGTCAGGAGCCCATCCTTCCGTTCATTGCTACAGGGTCCCCAGGCCTGGGCACATGGAGGCCACTCCTACCTGAAATGGGTGACAGTGTCAGGTTCCTGAAGGTGGGCACCTGCTCTGCTGTTGGTCATGAATATTTAGGGGGCACAAGAAACATCTCTGGGACACAGTAGTGCGGGAGGTGACAGTCCCTTGGTTTCCCTCAGCCTCAGTTCTCTCATCTGTGAAATGGTGATAACTACGGGTGCTTTTGAAAAGTGTAGAAAGGGTCAGAGGTGCTCTGTCTGAGTCACCCAGCACAGAGCAGCACCCCCAAGTCAGGTGTCATGTCAGTGTCATGACCCAGGGAACATTGCAGGGACCTCAGGTCCTCATTTGCAGAAAGTCTGTACAATAAGTTAACAATGTAATATAATCAAATGATTAATTAAATATTGATCACATAATCAAATCAACCTTCACAGGGTGTTACGAGGTGAGCCTGGGAGAGCACAGCCCTGGCTGAGCCACTGCATCTCGTCCCTCCACTGGGTGCTCCTGGGAAGGCTCGGTTTCGCTCAGTCCCCAGTTTCCCCACATAATGAAGGATGATAATCTCAGCTCCTGTTTAGGGGTCTGTGAGGGCAGAGGTCAGCTGTAAACAGTCAGTGCAAATACTGAAACTGACCAGAAATGTTCCTGAGCCCAGACTGATGGGAAGTCACCTCAGGATGAAAGAAGGTGCACTTTGAGCTCACTCCTGGACCTGCAAGTTGTCCAGATTCTCTCTCAGGGTTCATGTCCAAGGACCCAAGTGTCCTGCTCTGTAGGATGAGGATGATGACACACCCTCCCAGCATTGTTAGAGGATAAAGACAATGTATGAGAAGGATCCTTACAGAGTCACATGCTTGTCACTGGTGGTGATGGTCACAATCATGTTCATTGTTCATTGTGCTCCTTTTACAGCCCAACCCTCTCCCCCCGTGGTGTCAGCCCCCACCAGGAGGGCCACACCTGGGCAGACAGTGAGCTTCACCTGCGAGTCCCATGGCTTCTCCCCCAGGAACATCGTCCTGAGATGGTTCAAAGACAGGAATGAGCTCCCAGCCTCCCAGACCACTGTGGACCCAGAGGGAGACAGCCCTTCCTACAGCATCTCCAGCACAGCCAGGGTGCGGCTAGCCTGGGGGGATGTCCGCTCCCAGGTCATCTGCCAGGTGGACCATGTCACTCTGAAGGGGGGCCCTCCTCTTCGTGGGACTGCCAACCTGTCTGAGGCCATCCAAGGTAGATGTCCCTCACACCCAGCCCAAGCCCACACCTGGCTCCTTCCCTATAGCCTCCTCCTCCCCCTGCTCTTTGCTCCAGACCTGCAATTGCTGGTAATATGATTCCTCACAGTCCTTCCCATCACCAGGCACATGGATTTGCCAATCAAAAAAGCCACTGTTTAATAGAAGCTGCTTGATAAATACCTACCACGTGCCAAGCAGTGTGCTCAGTAGTTTTATCTACTTTACCAACTTCAATTACTGAGCACCTACTACAAACAAAACTCATATGTGCTTTTCAGTTTTGTTTGTTTTGCTAGTTATTATGTTCCCACTCCATGCATGGGCTGTGCTAGTTGATTTCATTCATATTAACCTAACAGGAGCTACCAGTCTTTGAGCATCTACTGTATACTGTGCACAGTGCTTAGTGATTTTATTCACACACAAAGAGAACCCTGAGTTCTGAGCACCTGCTGCTTACCTAGCACTCTCCTGGGTGACCCCTTGGTGTGGTCGGGGAGTTACATCATGGGCCTCTCCTCTGTGATCTGCATGCCCATGAGGTCAGAGCCTCTGCCCTGTGCTGTTTCAGTTCCACCCACCTTGGAGGTTTCCCAACACACCCTGTCAGAGAACCAGGTGAACATCATCATCTGCCAGGTGAAGAACTTCTACCCCCAGCACCTACAGCTGACCTGGTTGAAGAACGGAAACATGTCCCGAACAGAAACGCTGTTAACCCGAGTGGAGAACAAAGATGGGACCTTCACCTGGAGGAGCTGGATCCTGGTGAATTTACCTGTCCGAGGGGAGGCCGTGGAGCTCACCTGTCTGGTGCAGCATGATGGGCAGCTGGCCGTCAGCAGGAACCTCACCCTGGAGGCCTCCCCTAACCCGAAGGGCCCGAGCACAGATGGACCTTCTGGTGAGGCCTCCACCCCAAATGACCAGCTCTATTTAAACTTTATCATTTTTAATAAGTATTCATTCATGCTTATTATAGAATAATCTAGAAGTCTATCAATAGAAAGTAGAATTTTTAAGTGAGGTTCCCCACCTTAAACCCCACAATATAAGAGTCATCACTGGTAAGAGTTTGGTACAAATCTTTACAGATCTTTTGATATCAATACACATTAAAGAAAGAAAAAATGACTGAGGGTGATCATCTTTTCAGTGTCCTGCCTCTCCCTTCCTTCTCCTAACTGTCCCTGTGTCCTCTGTCCATGTCAGTCCCTCCCTCCTCCTTGCTGTTTTCAACCTCCTCCTGGTCTCCATTCCATTCCAGACTTCTCCATCCGCATCAGTAAGGTCACCAAGCAAATGCCTGAACCTGCTGCTCTGTGAAATTCCAGAGGGGGAGCCCTGAGGATGTGGAGTTTGAGTCAGGACAGTCATCTAAGTGACCATGGGTGGTGACAGCACCAGCCTCCTTTGTCCCCAGTGTTGTGACAATGAACCAGCAATAATCACAAATGTCTGCTTGTGGGGATGTTAATACTGTTCCCTTAGTGTCCTTGTGATGATGCAAGGTCTGAGATGACATCCCCAGTTTCATTACTGATGTTGGAAATATGTCATTTTTTCTTTGTCAGTCTTGATATAATTTTTTCAATTTTATTTCTTTTTTCCAAGAACCTGCTTTTTTTCAGTGATTTTCTCTACTGTTTCTCTGTTTTTTATTTCATTGAGCTTCCCCCTTTACTTCACAAATTCCTTCCTTCTGCCTTTTGGGTTCACTTTGCTCCCTGTTTTCTTGTTTCTTGCAATGGGAATGTAGATCACTGATTTTAACATTTTTCTCTTTCCTAAGCCACACCTGAGTCACCTTCTGTGCCTGGAGATCAGGGGAGTGCAACCTCTGAAGCCTGTCCCTGTGTGCTTCCTCCAGTCCTCAGGTCCGAGCCTGTCTGCCTCCCCCTTCCATCGCTCAGAGTCCTCGTCTATGTGTACCTTGTACCTGGTGTCATCTCTAGGGGTCGGAGATGCACTGAGTGGGGAGAGCAGGAGAGCTGTGTCTGCACCATCTGGTCTGGAGCCCCCTCGGGTGTTTTGAGTCTCATCTCCTGCTGCTGCTGTGCCCAGCCTGTCACCTCCCAGTGCTCTCAGTGTGTGTGACCCAGCACTTCTGCCACATCTTGAGACTGAGGATGGTGTTTAGTTTGTCTGGGTAGCCAGTGGAGCCATGTAGAAGGGCCTGTGTGACCCTCTGCACTGAGGGGCCACACCCTGCATGGAATCTGAGGTTTCTGGTCACTGCAGTCCCAGCGCAGTGGGCTCAGTGTGAGGATGCACAATGTTTTGTTCATGTGTATAATGCTGGGGTGTTTTACAATATTTCTTGATTAATGAACCTCTCTCTGTCAGTGTAGATTATGTTGATGGAGTTTATTGATTAGGTTTGATAGTGGGAGAAAGATTCTGAGTCTTCAGATTTTTTGGTTCTCTTTTGCCAAATTTGAACCCTAAATTTGCCCCCCTCCCTTTTTCCTTTTTTCTTTTCATCACCTAATTATGAAACAGCACGTCTTCCCTCTTTTTTGCCTTATGCCTCCAGCAGTTACACACTTTATTTTTTAATAATGTTTTATTTTTGGATTACAGCTCATATATAGTATTATATTAGTTTCAGGTGTACAACTCAGTGACTAGACATTTATATAATTTACCAAGTGATCACCTCAATAAATCTGGCACCCATCTGTATGATACCTAATTTATTACAATATTATATACAATTTACATCCCTGTGACTATTCCGTACTTCTTAATACCTTCACCTTTATCACCAAACTCCAAAACCTCTCCCACCAAAATGTTCTCTGTATCTATTGGTCTGTTCCTGGTCTGTTTGTTTGTTTGTTATTTATTTGTTTATTTAATTTAGAGTCTGCATATGATTGAAGTTGTATGGCTTTTGTCTTTCTGTGTCTGATAGATTTCACTCACTACAATACCCTCTACATCCATCCATGCTGTTACAAATGACAATATTTCATTCATTTTTCATGGCTAAATTATATTTCATTTATAGATACACAACTTTTTCTTTATCCATCCATTTATTGATGGACACTTAGGTTGCTTCCATATCTTGGCTATTGTAAAAAATGCTGCAATAAACATGGGTGCATATGTCTTTCCAATTTAGTGTTCTGGGTTCTTTGAATAAATAGCCAGAAGTGCAATTGCTGGATCCTTTGTTGTCTCTTGTTACAGCCTCTGTTTTAAAGTCTATTTTGTCTGCTATGAGTATTGCTGCCCCACTTGTTTTGTTTTCTTTTGTTTCTATTTTCATAAAACATCTTTTTCCTTCCCTTTACTTTCAGTCTGTGTGTGTCTTTCAATCTGAAGTGAGTCTCTGGTAGGCAACATATGTAAGGGTCTTGTTTTCTTATCCATTCAGCCACTGTGTGTCTTTTGATTAGAGTATTTAGCCCTTTTGCATTTAATGTAATTGTTACAGGTAGTATTTATTGCCATCATATTTTTCATATCTTTATCTTTTTTGTCTTCTTAAAGATGACCCTTTAATATTCCTTATAATACTGGTTTGGTGGTGATGAATTTCTTTAGCCTTTTCTTGTCTGGGAAAGAAAGACAAGATTCTACATGATAACTTTGCTAGGTAGAATAATCATGTTGTAGGTCCTTGCTTCTACATGATATCTGCCCATTGATTCTACATGATAACTTTGCTAGGTAGAATAATCATGTTGTAGGTCCTTGCTTTTCATCAGTTTGTTGCTGGGTTTTTTTTAATCCCTTTGAATATTTCATGCCAATCCCTTCTGGCCTACAAAGTTTCTGTTCAAATTCAGCTGAGACAGTCTTATGAGAGCTCTCCTGTAAGGAATTAATTGCTTTATTTTGCTGCTTTTAAGATTCTCTCTTTGCCTTTAACTTTTGTCATTTTAATTATGATGTATCTTGGTGTGGGTCTCTCTGGGTTCATCTTGTTTGGGCCCTTCTGTGTTTTCTGAAATTGTTTGTCTATTTTCTTCAGCAGGTTAGGGAAGTCTTTTGTCATTATTTTTTCAAACAGTTTACTATCTCATGCTCTCTTCTCCATCTGACACTCTTATGATGTGAATGTTGGTATGCTTGAAGTAATTCCAGAGACTCCTTAAGCTATCTTCACTTTCTTTTATTTTTCTTTTTGCTGTTCTGAATGGGTGTTTTCTGCTTCCTTATCTTTCAAATCACTGATCTGATCCTCAGCTTTATCTACTCTACTGTTGATTTCTTATCATGTATTCTTCATTTCAGTTATTGTGTTCTTCATTGCTAAATTTTTTAAATGTATTCTAGCTCCGTTTTCTTTAATCCTTGCCCAAGAATATATTTATTGATTTTTAATGAGAGAGGAGAGAGAGAGAAAGAGAAACATCAATAAGAGAGAGAAACACTGATGGGTTGCCTTTCCCACACACCACAACTGGGGATCGAACTCACAGCCTAGGTATGTGCCCTGGCCAGGAATTGAACCTGCAAACTTTTTGTGCATGGGACAAAACTCCAAGCAACTTAGCCACCTGGCCAGGACATCCATCTGCATTTTTATGTTTCCTATCCTTTTGTTGGCATTCCCACTAAGTTCACCTACTCTCCCCCCAAGTTCACTGAGCATATTTATAACCAGTGTTTGAACTCTACATCTAGTAGATTGCTTGTCTCCATTTTTTGTGGTTCTTATTCTGGAGTTTTGTTCTATTCTCTCATTTTGGACATGTTTCCTTGTCTCCTCATTTTGGCTTCCTCCCTGTGTTTGTTTCTATGGATTAGGTAGAGTTGCTATATCTCCCAGTCTTTGTAGAGTGGCCTTATGTAGTAAGTGTCCTATAGTGCCCAGTGGTGCAGCCTTCCCAGCCACCCTACCTGGGTGTTCTAGGTGCGTACCCCCAGTGTGGGATGTGTGCATCCTCCTGTTGTGGTTGAGCTTTGATTGATGTTGGTACATCAATGATAGGAACCTGCCCCCAGGCCAGTCAGCTGTAAGGACTGGCTGTGACTACAGCAAAGGAGCCGCTGTGCAGGGGCTGACCCCAAAGAGTAGGACTCACTTCATTGAGGCTCTGGTGCCCATTGAGCCCACCCCTTGATTGTGTCAATTTGGGAAATTGTTAGGTGGTGCTCCTTTGTTGTCTAAAGCTGTCCAAAGCTGTCTCCCTGATTCTGGAGTCTCCCTGGAGGTGCAGAAAAAGACCAGCCACTGCCTGGGCCCATCTTGGGGCTACCTGGCATGAGCTAAAAAATAATTTGCAGATGGTTGCTATTTGTGCTGGGCCTAGAGGTGCCTGGGAGAGGCCCAGCTGCATACTGAAGCTGGCTGCTACTAATGCTGGGCCTGGGGCCACTTAGCAGGTCTGTGGCACACTGAGGCCAAATGCAGCTTATTAAGGGTTTGTGGACCCTTGAGAGATTTTAGAAAAGTCTGGAGAATAAGCCAAGATAGGCCATTTGCAAAGAATGCCCTAGAAATGGCCTGGGTAGGCCCACAACTTGTGTGGGGTGGGGTCTCAGGGAGTTACTAGGGAGGGACTAACAACGTTAGCCAAGTTGATGGAGACTCATATATAGTGCCCACCTGTGCCAGCAGGGAAGGGCTCAGCAGAGATCAATGGCTTCTGCCAGCATTTCTGTCTAGCAAAAAGCTGCCTCTCTAGCCTTGCCACAAAGCCAGACATTTCAGTTCTTCCCATCCTCTGGCACCTTTCAAACTGCTGCCCCAGTGCTGGAGCCGTGAGAAAGTGAGTCTGGTTAAGTCTGGGTGTAGGCCCTTTAAGAGAGATGCCTGGTTTCTATTTTGTTTGTTAGATTATTTTGTTCATTAGATTTTATATATATTTGTGAAATCATGTGGTATTTCTCTTTCTCAGACTATCACCCCAATAAATTCATTAAAAATAATATTTAAAGAATTATATTTTAAAATAAAAAGAGGAATGCCTGGGACTCCAGCCACTCTCTGTCTCTCTCAGCCACAATCCCTGCTGGTTTTCACAGCAAGAAGTTAATGGGACTCTCTTCCAGCACTGCATTTCTGGGGCAGCTGGCCTGGTGCAGGTCAGGGACTCATTGCTCCTCAGGGAGAACCTCCACAATCCGTATCCCTCCAAAATTTTTTACCCGCCACACATGGGTGTGTGACCAGTCCATTCCACATCTCTGTTGCTCTTACAAGAACAAATGTGGCTTCTTCTGTACATAGAACTTCTGTTCAGCTAGAAGCCAGGTGGTTCTAAATGATGAATGTTCTGTAGTTTAGTTGTAATTTTGATGTGTTCATAAGAAGATGCGTGTACTGCATTTACTTATTCCACCATCTTCATCAAAGACACAAGTAATGAACTTTAATTGTGCCTGGCCCTTTAATTACATCTGTTCTATTTAAATGTTCCTGACTCCCTGGATTAGATTCCTATGGGCACAGTGACCACCTGTTTAGTGGCTTAACACAAGACAAATTTATTGTCTTACAGTTTTAGAGGACAGAATTCTGCAAAGCATTGGCAGGGCTGTGTTCCTTCTCTAGGGGAGAGTTTCCCTCAGTAGGACACCTTTTGATATGTATATAAGTAGAACCATGCAGTATTTGCCATTTAGTGACTAGCCTATTTCACTTAGCACAGTGTCATTAAGTTTAATCCATGTTATAGCCTGTGACCAGATTCCAAATTGGAAAAGAAAGAAAAGAGTAGGATGTTTGATCCCATTTAGATTCCCAATCTTTCTCCACTCATGCATCCATCCATCCATCCATCCTTCCATCCACCCATCCATCTATCCCAGCATACATTCACTGATATATTCACACTCTCATTCATTTGTACATTTACTTAGGCATGTATATGTTAATCAGTGCCTACAGTGATCATCTCTGTACTAGGCCCCGGAAGATGACCCACCCTCAAGGAGCTCCCAATCTCCCACAGTGGACTTCCTATAGTAATTGTCAGCTATCTCTGTGATGTGTCAGTCCCCCCCGCAGTGACAGTGTCCCAGTCTTCATTCTCCTCAGACTTGGTGGCTATTGTTTGCCAGGCACAGAGATTCTATCCACAGAGTGTGCATCTCACCTGGCTAGAGAACTGTCATATGTTCAAGAGAACTGAGAAACCCATATCCATGCAGAAGAGCAATGGGACCTAAAGCATGGAAAGCTTGCAATTGATGAATGTATCACTGCAGAGGGTGCTCACCTGTATGGTGCTGCATGAGGTACATCCTCCAATCCAGCCAACCTCATACTGTCCACAACACCCCATACCACATAGAGCCTATTGAAGGTGCAGAGAAGCTCACTCACCTCCACTCCTGTGAGCAGCTGGGTCACCTCTGTCTCCTGAATGCTGTGAGGTATTTAAACTCACAGAGCTCCATTTGATGTCTCCTTCTGCCCATTGGTGTTTAGGTTCACAGACATCTGCCATTATTTTTGTGATGTTTCTCCTGGGCCTCAAGGTGCTGCTGGTAATGAGTTTCACAGTCACCTACATCCACAGGTGGTGGAATCTGTAACAGGTGAGTTGGAGGCAGGCCTTAGTCCTTAAAGAGGAAGGTCAGGGCAAACCTCATGGGCTGGCAGAAGTGCAGGGTGTGGCTGCATAGTCACATGGTCGCCACAAGGTTGATTCAGCCTCAGCAGAAGGTTGTGAAAGCTTTTATTTTCTCTAAATGTCTTTGGAATCTTAGAGGCTACCAACTCTTCCACCTTGTATCATGTCTTGGATTTTGAAGGTTTTCAAACTAAGTGCACTGGGACCCTGGCAATGGTGGTCTAAATGTGGAGGTGGGATAAAGGCCAAAGCTCTGAGACACAAACTAAAAACAGTCCTCCATAAACTGCTGTATATTTCAGTGTTCATATGATATATGTTTTGTATGAACAAAAAAGTAGAACTAAAATCAACCAATACAACCTGAGAGACTTAGGGGTGCTGACCAGTGGTGAAGACGAATATAGGTATGAAAGGGGGAGCAGAACTCAGAGGAGGGGTTCAGGTAAACTGAGTAGGGGACTCGAGGGTCTGATCTGTGCCCCCAACCCAGGTGAGAGTGCTTGGCACTTAGTATGTGCTCAATAAATATTTGCAGAATTAAAAGGAGGCACTGAATGAATGAATAAAAAATGTCACTACATCTTTCCATGATGCATTGTCTCCTGCCTTCTCCAAGGGGCTCCGTTGGAGAGAAGAAGCTTCAAGGACCTGCAGGTGACCCAAAACCCTGGCCCTTTACTCTGCCAGCCCCACCTGAACCATGAACACGCTCCTGCACACACCCTCCTGATGGTCCTGCTCTCTGACAATGAACATGAGTCAAGGATAGACTTTGGTCATGGGGAATCCAAGATGTCTGGACCTAGATGCACTGAGCTTCAAACTGACCCTGCCTTTTCCCAAAAGAGGCCCCTCCAGGGCAAGGCAATGGGTTTCCATTCTTTTTTATTGTAAACAACCTTTAATATTCAGAGAAGATTTTACTTTACCCAGAGATTTTGCAAGTATGATTTCATTTTAGCACATAGATATTTAAAACCACTAAGCTGAATAAGCATTCTGGTATTCTGAACTATATAATGAATAATGTAAAAAACCTATGGACCTGCCACGAAGTCTTTGCAAAATAGTAACATGTTGCCTTATGATTTGTGTTCATTTTGAAAAATCTATTCTGAATTTGGTGTTATTTTCTTGAGTGCAATTTTATACTTTTACAATATATATGAAAATCTTTGAAATATTTTCATGAAATATTTAATTTTACTTTGCATGCTTTAAATTTTATTTAAATACTATCATACTGTATACAACATTCTGGAACTTTATTGCTTAACAGTTTTGTGTGTTATATATATATAGCCCCATTTTTTTTGATTTTCCATGCTCTATAGTTTTCTGTTGTAAGATGTGCTACAATTTGTATTGCATTAAAGCTAGATCTAATGTTTTGCAATAAACACTCTGATTTTTGCTCCATGGCACCTACGGGAGAGTTCCTCCTGTTCCCCTAGTGTGAGCTGCAAAGAAGCAAGTCGGGGTCATTTGGGAGCTTTTGGTTCACCCAAAATGGTTTTCAATATTTGATCGTGCTTTGCTCTTATAATTTATGCCTTTGATCTAGGCAGATTTTCCCTGTGTGTGTGTGTGTGTGCGTGCGCACACACACTATAGGTAGTCAGGATCTTTTTTATTCCACAAGGATGATTTTCCCCACACCCACTGGTCCTCACAGACACCTTTGCTGTATGTCAAGTCTGCATAAATACGTGCTTCTTTCTATGAGCTCTCTGTTGCATTGAGCTGCTTGTCTATCTCCCTGTCAGAACCTCCTTGACTTAATTAGAATAGTTTTATAATCAGTTTTCATAGCACTATTGGGAAATCTTCCCACCTTTTCTTGTTTTCAAAATTGTGTGTTACTCTTGGCCAAAATGCATTTTTTATATTTTTTATTGTATTTTTTCTATGCCCATTTAATCTCCTATACCCCTCACCCCCCATCACCACAACACCACACTGCTGTCCATGAATGACTTTCTCATAGTTCATGAAAAACTATATTTAAATCATTATTTGACTGTATTACACTTATATATTAATTCACATAAATTTATATCTTTATACTATTAAGATTTTTTAATTCATGGACATAATATACATCTATTAAAGTTTACTTTTTGACTTTCAGTACACAATTTTTCCCCTTAATGGTCTTAGGCATCTTTAATTAGAACTATGTTTAACACTTTCTAGTTCATGAAAACTTTAAAAACAATAATTACTATTATTGCTTTAAATAGTAAATACACTAATAATTACTATTATTAGTAATTAATAGTAATTATTAATAGTACTATCAATAATTATTAATTATTAATTAATTATTAATAGTACTATTTTTAGTACTTTTTTAGTATTTTTAGTACTGTTTAGGATGGTAATTGATTTCAATCATTCTATATCCACCAAGCTTATGAAACCCTAACTAGTGCTAATAGTATGTACACTTTTTATTTGTACAATTACAACATCAATTATCTATAATTAGTTTCTACCTTCATCAAAGTTACATGTGCATGTGTTTAAAGAATCAAAGAGTTCTACAAGTTCTACATGTGAAAACTGGAGTCTCCCGAGCCACCCACTGTTTTCTACTTCCAAAAAGCAACCATTCTCCACTCTGTGAACTGATTATTTTAGAGTTTACTGTCACAACGCATACAGCGAACTTCTATTGCACTTCTTGATCTCTGACCCTCAGGATTTATGTGTGGACATCCCGCTAAGGAAGATGGGACATAAGTCTTACTCCTGACCTCATGCCGCACACGCACACTGTCTGCTCCCATCACACTGATGTCATTGCAGTATAACTTTGGATAACTGAGTAGTCCGTGTCTTCATTACAACAACTATGAGGTTGGTACTTACAGCTAAATCTTGTAACATTTCCTGCTTTGCTATGCTGATCCCTCCCATGTATGTTTGTGTCACCACCATCATGACCAGGATGCAGAGCAATTCCATGACCACAGAGGTCCCCTGTGCTCGCCTTTACAGTGACCCATGCCCACTGTGCCAACCTCTGCAAATGCCAGTCTGCTCTCCACTCTATAGTTTTAAGAATATTATATGAGTGGAATCAAATAGTATGTAAAATTTTGAGACTAGCTTTACATACCCAACATAATGCTTTTGAGAAACTTACAAGTTGTTGCACATATAAATAATCTATTTCTGCCCTGGTTGGTGTGGCTCAGTGGATTGAGTACAGGCCTGCAAACCAAAGGGTCACTAGTTCAATTCCTGGTTACAGCACATGCCTAGGTTGCAGGCCAGGTCCTCAGTAGGGGACACGTGAGAGGCAACCACACATTGATGTTTCAATCTCCTTCTCCTTCCCTTCCCCTCTCTCTAAAAATAAACAAATAAAAACGACTTTTTAAAATAATCTATTTCTTTCTGTGGCTAAGTAGCATGTCCTTGTATGGAGGCATTACAAGGTATTAGAGTTTGATTAACTTTTCACTTATTACATAACCTTTTTGATTGTTTCCACTTTTTCCACTATTAGAGAGAAAGCTGCTAAACATTAGCACACAGGTTTTGGTTGTAATGTAAGCTTTATTTCTCTGAAATAAATGCTTGGGAGTGTACTTGGTGGGTCTTAATAACTTACTTCCTCTTTTGAAAGAATTCAGGATATTATTCCTTTTGTTGGATGGAAGCACATACAGATTCTGAGGTCCAGAGCACACTGTGCATTTGGGCTAAGTTTTACCAGTCCCATCAATAAAGGGTAGAACATGGAGTCATTCAGTAGCAGACCTATTTCTGTCTCAATGTCAAACAGGCTCTAGTAAACCTTCTCTCTTCTCCAGCTGAATAGCTCTTGGTGAGGCTGGTGAGGATACAGCCACAAGCTGACTAGCTTGTGGTCTCATCCTAGGGTCCTTGACTTGGAAGTTTGGGACACAGCCCACAACTGCAGACCCTTCTTGTCCTGAGCCCCAAGTGGGGTACCACCATAAAGATCTCAGATGGGGTGAGAGGTCCAGTGGAGAGAAGAGGCCCCATGCAGGGGAAGCACTATTTCCTGTAGGTGTGTCCAAGTCTCTCTAACAACTAAGATGAGTAATTCCTTAATCTGTGGCTAAAAACTATGAGCATTTCCTCACCCTGTATTTGTCTTCTCTGCCTGATTCTATTTCACAATCTAGAAGCAAGTATTGTCTCAAATCTAATAGCCAGCTACTGTCTCACAGCCATTGCACCCCATCCTGGGGACTTCCTCTTATATCACAAGAAGTGTGGCCTCTCTTCTCACAGAGCAGAGTCTGGGCTCTCCCAGCACACATTAGTACAGAACAGGCTCCTCAGGCCTCCAGCATGCCTGTCCCTGCCTCCTGGCCCCTCCCCACTCCTTGCCTGCTACTAGTCTGCTGCTGGGCCTTACAGGTGAGCATGCCTTGGCATACAATATACTCTCCTTACTCTTGGACCTCCTCCTACTCTTCAAAGGGTTTGGAGCCTCCAGGAAAGCAGGGTGCATCACCCACTGCTTTCACAAAAAGCCCAGGACAAGACATTATCTGAGAGCATGAAATCAAGGATCTGAGCATTTTTCTGGGGGTCCATCACTAGCACCATGTTACCAGAGGCATCAAAATAGATGATGCTTCAAACTGCAACAGTGACAGCTCTGTGCATATTAACTTGTTTAATTCTCTCAACATGCTTGTGTGAGAAGTATGACTATTATCCTGCGTTTGCAACTGGGGAAACCGAGGCAGAGAGAGTAACTTGTGCAATGCCACCTATGTGAGGCAGAGATTCAGCTGGATTCAAGTCCAGGCCAAGCAGCTCCAGAACTCATTCTTTTAACCATGTGATACGGCTTCTCAGTGGAGGCTGATTGTGGAAAATCAGAAAACACAGAGAGAGAAACAATATTCATCACCCACCCAGCCACTCAGAGATTGTCAGAGTTCAGATTCTGCTGTGCTTATTGGCACACTTTTGTTAAGGATGTGTTGGATGGTTTCTATGTTCCTAATTTTTGCTAAGTTTCTAATATATATTATAATTTCATTAATCCTCAAAACGATCTGTGCACTAGAGTGATAGGCCACACTTCTATATACGAGTATACTTGTGATGCATGTATGTGTGTGTATGAGATGGCTCAAGGAAGTGCACCCTCACATACACATGGAATTCTTGAAAAGCCTTTTTTTATTGTTCTCCTTGAATCATTCTCACTCTACATGAAATGACATGAACAAATCTTTAGTTCTCTCTGTCTCTCAGCCACCCTCCCTCCTTTCTATTTAAACTTACCCCCAGCCCTCTCCCAAACTCTTAAGACAAGCAAGCTTCACTTTTGGTAAAATCAGTAGGACTATTGTGCATTACTACCTTGGAGTTCCTCCTCCATGATGGATGGGTGTGAGGAGGAAAGAATGAAGGTGAGAAAAGATATGGACTCCTCTCTGAGCGATATATATATAAATGTAATTATATCCATATCCATGTACATATCTGTACCTATATCCAATCTATATCATCTAATCTGTTAAACTCTAAGGCCTCAGGAAATCTAATGAGTAATAACTTTTCAATTTCTTGAACACACACAATGTGCAGACACTACTGCAAATGCCTGTGACTGTTATCTCATGTGACCATTATATCCAAAAGAAAACATCTTCTCACCTCTTCCTCACAGATAACAAAAGGAAGTACAAAAGGTTCAAGATTACTCACTGGTAAATGGTAGAGCTGTGATTTGAACTCAGGCAGCTGATCTAGAGCTCATGGGCTTATCATTACTCTTCTCAAATGTCTGTAATCTGACTTCCACCCCATGGTATTTCAGGAGCTCCTGCTAATGGGGAAGGGTGAGTGGGGGGTACAGGGTTTGTGGTTTTCTGCTCTTGGGCTCTTCTGCTTCTTGCATCCGTATAAGATGCTTTTGTTTTTCGCCAAGTATTCTCGTGGGAAACTCAGTTAATGACATAATTTCCACAGATTTACCCTTAACATAGCCTTCAAGTCTCAGGGAGGTGTTACGTTGGGCAATTCACACATATCATACAAATATTTATAAGATACCTACTGTGTTCCAGGAACCATTATAGGAACTTGGGGTGCATTAGTGAGTAAAAGAGATGAAGTAGCTGCCTTCATGGAGCTTTTCCTAGTGAGGAAATTATAGTAAACAATAGACATAATAAATAAGTAAACCATAGAGTATATGGAAATTAATAAACATTAAGGAAACATGAAAGTATTGCTGGACAAGAAAATTGGGGGAATCTGTCAGGTAGAATGTATTTTAAACAGGGTAGTCCATGTGGTCATCACTGAGAAGGGGAAGTCTGAGT